TGAACATATCTTTAAAATTTTCTAATAAATATTGAGTTTTTTCCTTGATTTCGTTTTCCGTGCTACCGACGCCAGGGAGGCAGCTCCCACACCTGGACCCTACTTTTCTACCCATCAACTCATGAACCGACGACCAACGGCTTTACTTCCCTTGCGAAGGAAGGCATGATCAGAGATTTCATGAATCAGAACATCTCGGCAGCGCTTACTGGGATTGAACCCAAGCCTACTGGGGTGAAAGGTAATCACGCTTACCACTACACCACTGGAACTGCTCAGTTTTGTTAAATTGGTTAAATTGGTTGAATTTTTAAAATCTGTTAAATATTCTAAATATGAAGAATTTTTAAACTTGTTACAATTATTAATATTACTTTTTTTAAATCTGCAATAGTTTTATTTTACAAACGTTTTTTTTAAATAAGCGATATGGCTCTGATAACAAATTTAACACATATAAAAAATTTAATTTTTTTTTTTAATTTAACGAATTTAACAAATTTAACATAGGGGAAATGGCTCTAATGTAGGCCTATGGATCGAAGATTGGGTCCATCGATAAAAATCTGCTATTTATCTATTTTATCTAGATGGACGCGTCATTGGGACGGTACTAATGGATATATTTAGTCACTATTGAAAATTTAGTCGATTGCTGAATTTATGTATGAGCCCAAAATAGGGGCACTTGGGCCGACAATACATCCATTTCCCCTATATGCTAAATTAAGGAAATTTGCTTTATCGGTTACATTTGTGGAATTGATAGAATATGTAAAATTATTATCTTCGATACATTTATTAAACTTATTACTTTTGTTAATTTTGATAAATTTGTTTCATTTTCTCAATTTTTAAAATTTGTTAAAATTATTTAATTTCATACATTTGTTTTATTCGTTAAATGTTAAATTTGCTAAATTTGAAATTTTTTATAAATAAGTTGAAATTGTTAAACTTTTGGATTTTAAATAGTGAAATTAGAAAAAAAATTAAATTGTTTATTTTGATATTTTTTGATTTTTGATATAATTTGATTAAAAAAAAATAATTTTTTTGTATTAGCTAAATTTTTAATTGGAGAATATTTTGTTTTCCGTCGATCTTGTTTGCCGTGCTGAGCACCAATGCTACCAACGCCAGGGAGGCCGCGCCCACACTTGGACCCTACCTATCGATACATCAATTCATGAACCGGGGACCAACGGCCTTACTTCCCTTCCAAAGGAAGGCGAGATCAGAGATGTTATGCCTCAGAACATCCCGACGGCGTCCACTGGGATTGAACCCAGGCCTGCTGGGATGAGAGGTTTATCACGCTTACCACTACACTACCGGCGCCGCTAATTAGGGAAATTTTGTGAATATTTAAAATTAAAAAATTGTTTTTAGAGTTTAATTTGTTAAATTTGCTTAATCTGTTAATTTGTTAAATATGTTAAATTTCCTTCATTTGTTGAAATTGGTAAGTTTGTTTTGTTTGATAAATTTGTTAAATATGTTTCATATGTTTTATTTGATAAATTTGTCTAATTGGATTGATTTGATAAATTTATTTAATGAGATTAATTCGTTAAATTAGTTAAATATAGTACGGTACTAATGGATATTTTTGGTTGCTATTGAAAATTTAGTCAATTGCTGAATTTATGTATGGGCCAAAATTAGGGACACTTAGGCTGACATTACATCCATTTCCCTTATTGAACAAATTTAATAAATTTAACAAATATAAAAGATTTATCAAATTTAACAAATTTAACAAATTTAACAAATTTAACAAATTTAACAAATTTAACAAATTTAACAAATTTAACAAATTTAACAAATTTCTAGAAAGAGCTGGAATTAGGGTATAACAGCTTTTGTAAACAATGACTTCTCTCGATGAATTCTCGAAACTCAAGACCCGCCCGCGCAAACTAACATAACCAACGAGAAGGAGAAAACTTCCCCTACCTGATGCTGACGTTGATTTGTGGGTGCGAGCCTTGGCTTTCTAGAAATCATCGAGAGAAGTCATTGTTTACAAAAGCTGTTACGCCCTAACTCCAGCTCTATCTAGAAATTTGTTAAATTTGTTAAATGTTTAAAATTTGTTCAATTTGTTAAATTTGTTTAATTTGTTAAATTTATAAATAGGTTAAATTTGTTAAATTTGATAAATTTGTTAAATTTGATAAATTTGTTAAATTTGCTCAATTTGTTAAATTTGTTTAAATTTTTAAATTTGCCAAATTTGTTAAATTTGTTAAATTGTTATTTGTTTTTAAATATGTTAAAATTGTTATATATGTTATTTTTTTTTTAAATTTGTTTAGTTTGTTAAATTTGGTAAATTTGTTAACTTATAAGGTATGTTAAACTTGTTCATTAACCAATTGATAAAGTGGTTCAATTAGATAGGTTTGACAAATTTATTTAATGAGATCAATTTATTAAATAATTAAAAGGTGCTGAATTTGATGAACTCATTGAATTCATTTGAATTCGGATTTTTTTTTTAAATTATCCTTTATTTGTGAAGCATGAAAAATTTTCAGTTTTTTTTAAGTTTGTTATTTATTTTGAATTAATAAAAATTTGAAAATTCATTAAATTTCATAAATTTTTTTAACTTGTAAAATGTTTACATCAGTGTTTTTGGCTTTTCTATGATAAATTTGTTAGTTAGTTTAATTTGATAAATTCGATGAAATTGTTAAACTTATGGATTTTGCATAGTGAAATTTGAAAAATTAAATAAAGTTGTTTATTCTGGTAATTTTATTGATATTTCAATTTAGTTAAATATGTTCTATAAACTCAGTTTTATTAAACTGAAGAAATATATTTTTAATTAAAAATTTAAAAAAAAATTCTATGCAAGTTAAATTTATTATTTTTTGTTAAATTATTGCAATATGTTGAATTTGATAAGCATGTCAAATTTCTTAAATTTGTTAAATTTGATTTTTCTTTAAATTTGTTATATTTGCTAAATTTGTTAAATCTGTTTAATTTGTTAAATTTGTTAAATATTTTATATATATTAATTTTGTTAAATTAGTCAGATTTAAAAAAAAAATTAATTTGTTAACTTTGTTATACTTGGTAAATTTGGTAAATGTGATAACTGTGTTAGGTATAATAAACTTCTTCAATAATCAATTGAAAAATTGGTTAAATTAGATAGGTTTAATAAATTTATTTAATGGGGTAAATTATAGTAAAGTAATTAGAATTGTCTAAATTTGCCTAATTTGTTGAATTTATTGAAAAACTGTTTTTTTATTTTGCTTTATTTGTGAAGTATGACGTATTTTCAGTTTTTTTAGTTTCTTAAATTTGTTTAATTTGTCTAATTTGATAACTTTGTTAAATCTGTTAAATTTGTTAAGTTTGTTAAATTGGTTTTATTTGACAAATATGATAGATATGATTTCTTTAAGTCGGAAAATTTGCTTAGTTAGTAAATTTGCATAATAGGCTTTAGTGGAATCAATAGAATTTGCAATTTTTTTTATTTGCGATGAATTTATTGAGTTTATTATCTTTGTTATTTATGATCATTTTTTCTGATATGTTCCAATTTTTTAACTTGTTTAATTTGTTTATTGAACAAATTTGTTTCATATGAAAAATGAATTAAATTTCATAAATTGGTTAAACTTATTGGATGTTTTTAATTAGTTTATTTGGTTATACTAGTTAAATTTACAGCATTTGTTATATTTTATTAATTCGTGAAATTGATAAATTTGTGAGTTTTAAATAGTGAAGTTTGTTAAAAAAATAAAATAAATGTTGAAATTTCAATTTTGTTATAAGTGTTATAAAAGCTCATTTTTTATAAATTGAGAAATAATTTTAATATTTAATATATTAAAAATTGTTTTAAATTTTATTTTTTTTAACTTGTTTAATTTTAAAATTTGATTAAAAATGTTAATTTTTTTTCAATTGTTCAATTTGTTAATATTTTAAAAATATTTTAATTGTTTTGGGATTGTCAAATTTGTGATAAATTGGACCGATTTTTAATATAAGATAAATTAGTTAAGATAGTAAAATTTCTGAATTAATTGAATTTTCTAAAAAATATATATATTTTTTGAATTGGCTTACTTCTTGAAATATGAAGAGTTTTTCAAATGTTTCAGATTTAATCAATGCATTGCATTCATTATATAAGTTAAATATGGTTTATTAGTTTAATTTGTTGTTGAACTTGATAAATTTATATTTTTTTTGCAATACATATTATAATTTTGCATAATTATTTTATTTCCTCAATATGACTGAACGTGTGAAATTTCTAAAAAAAAATAATTTGACGTGAATTTGCCTTATTTTATGTTTTTAAAATTGTAATATTTGCCTAATTGATCAAAACTTTTAAAAATAAATAAGTAAATTTGTTAAAATTATTACATTTGCAAAGTTTATTAAATTTATGGAACTTGAAAATGTTTAAAAAATTGTTAAATTTGTTTCTGATTAGAAATTCATTAAAATGGATGAGTTTGTTAATGTTTTGTGTCATTTGTTAAATTTGTTAAAATTGTTTAATGTGATAAATTTATGGACTTTGTGCAATTTGAAGTTTTTTTTTAAATTTGGTATGTGTTTATTTTTTTTGAGTCATTGAAATTGTTAAATTTGTTATATGATTCACATTTTTGTTGAAATCCAGCCATTTTGAATCTTGTTAAATTTTCAAAATATCATGTTTGAATTTTTTTAAACTTTTTTAACTATTGCCCGACTTGCAAAATAGTTGCCTGTGCGAAATTAAAAAAAAATGATTTTTGTCAGTTTGGTATGTCCATCTAAAGAACCATTAGTGATCAATGGAAAGGATGATCAGTTTCCCATTTTTATCAGCCGCTTTTACACATTTGGTTGAAGGAATATTGATTCATGATACAAAGTAGGAACTATCGATTAAATGGTTGATTTCTCTGTCTCACATACTCAGACACACACACAATTTAGAAAAAGCACTTCCAACTACTCACCTCGCCATCATCGCCCAGCGACGAATCGCCACCGTCGAGATGATTGTCTGTCCTCGGGCTCCCGATGCCGGCACTGATGGTTCCAATGATGCCACTACCGCCATCGCTCCCACCGCCACCACTCGCACTACTACTACTACTGCTACCGCTACTGGCAGCACTACCCAGCTGACCCGTCTCCAGCCACAGTCGCTTCCAGTCCGTGTTGGCCAGTATAGATTTGTTATCTGTGAAAATAAGCGCAAAAGCAATAAAGGGGGAAAATGTAAGTCGGACAAAGTTATTACAATTGGTTCCATAATCCTTGCTCCTGGTGCGGATTCAACCGACCGAATCGAGCCAAAGGATGATGGAGCTATGGTTAACTACAATAATGGCAAGTAAGACTTCTGTTCAGCAGCTGAGCAGAGAGTGATTGAGTGGGTGAAAGATTGCACGGGAGATTACGGAGCTCAAATTGAGATATTGCTTCGGAATGGAATGCCAGCGGATTTAAAAGCGGGGCATTAGATACAGATACAAGTGATGATTTTGCAGCACAGTGAGTTACAGTAGATTTTCTGAATAATTTCAAACCAACGATCGTGGGTGATTATGTGTTATTTATCTCAAATTGTATCAAGCTTTCGGCACATACTTTCGGCTAAGCACAATTTGAAATGTTTAATTCAAGGTTCTTTTCTCTTGATAAATAACACAACAATAAATTTCACCTCCTTCCTAACGCGATACCAAGCACCAATCTCATTAAAGAGCCTGACAATGCAAGATACTCTGGCACGCAAGAAAGCCACAAGACCGAGCTTCCACTTTCGATGGTGATATGACGGTGCGGTGATGGTGCAGATCGTGACATTTCCTAGTTTCCTCATGTTGCTCGAAACACACGCGTCCGACGAAAAAAAAAATGGATTGATTGAATTTGGTTCCATATCCGGCACCATCATGCGCTGTTCTGTTTGTTTAGGTTTCTTTGATTTTGCTGTTGTTGCTGCTTTTACTTTATGTAGCTGATGGTGGCAAAGCGTCAATGTACCAGAAAATGGCAATTTTTCAATGTCGTGTCATAAATCTGAATTACAATGGATTAAATTACTTATCCTGTCAATTCGGAAATCAATGTTCAAAAGTTTCTGATATTTCTTAGCCTTTGTTGATGATTCATGGAAATCCACCGGATCAGACTGTCACGTAATGGACGATAAGTGAAGAAAAAGCTTAACCCTCAACTCCATTCCACCGACGCTACTGCACACCTTCTACAGCATCAAAGTAGCGTCAGCTACCAGTTATCTAAAAGGTTGGGTGATGGTCGGGTTTGCTTATCAAGCTGCAGGCTTGGAGGAAACACTTCACTGTTATTTTTAGATCTAATTACACCGCCACAAGACGACTGTTGTTCTGTTCTCTCTCTCTCACGATCTCTGCTCACTTCTATTTCTGTGCATCTCGTCTTGGAAGCAGGGACACCAGATTTTTTATTTTCTCAAATGATCTGCAATAAATGCTTCAAATGTCTGTTTGTTTTCAATGTCTAGAAATGAATTTTGACATCACCTGGGAGTGATGTACCCTATTGTGGGACTCAAATGATGATATGAAATCCTGTTTTTGAACTTGGAAGTATCACATTTTTCATACCCCATCTCGATTTTTTATTCGATAATCTTTATCAAAAAATGTTATTGCAATTTAAATTCCAAATTAACGCAATGTACCGAAATCCAGACACTTAGTCCATCAATTCAGACATTTTTAAAAGTTTATTATCAATGCTCAAAATAGTACGTATATTTTAACATGGCCTTATGGCATCGTTCGGAATCATCTGTCTTGCTTATTATGTTGAAAAGTAGAAGCTAGAATTCGTTAATAAGGAAATATTCAAATAAACGTAGCATCTAACATTCTTAGCATTTCCATATGTTTTTTTTTTATATTTTCAAGCTCGAGAAAAAAAACCAATCAGATCTCAAATTTTACACGTTTGGACAACCCAGTTTTAAATTAAATAATCCACTAAGAGTTCTATATATTAAAAATGTTACAGCATGGTTGTAGCTTGATTGAGTGTATCATTAGGGTGAGGCTTATTTTTAAAAATCGTTTAGTTAAGTGTTTTACAATGAGAAAAATGATTATTGGGACTAATTATGTAACAGATTGAAAATTAAGCTTTTATATGAAACGATGAACTTTTTTAAATAAAACATATGCTTCTATAGGTAAACTCGGCTGTCGACAAACTCTCGATGTGTGCCGCGCGATCGGCAGCAACCATTGTGTGGTCCTCCTCATTGTTCTTCATCAGCAGTTCTTTCGGTCGATGCGTCGTCGACTTTGGAAAGCAGCCGTTTCGTAATAAGTGTGTGAGTTCTGACCACGTTTTGCGTTCATTGCTGCAATGGAAGCGCTGTGACCCCCGTTGGCGATACTGCTTCTTCCCCTATCCGATGGTTATGATGATTTTCGTGAGCGTGCCATGAATTCTTAGAAATCATCGAGAGAAGCAATTGTTTACAAAAGCTGTTACGTCCTAATTCCAGCTCTATCTAGAATTGAGTTCATTATTCATCAACGAATACTCGTTTGTTGATATTCAGTGCTTGATTATCCAACATTAAATTGCCAAAATCAGAAGCGATCCTCAAAAGCAAAATAATCAAATTCATTTTGAGCAAAATTGTTATTTTGAATTTTGTCGACCCCAGAATCTAAAACCTCGTTATCATCATCAATTCAGCAAGAGGCCATAATTTTTCATCAATCAATGAGTAAAAACCAACACGACACGTTCTTCTTATTTGTGTAAAATAAAAATAACAAGGGGTGATCAACTCTGCACACTGTGCCGAAACACAGCATGGCACACTATAAGGCACTTTAGGACAAGCGTTGACAAGTAGGATATAATTAATATAATATAATCGTTGCTAAGGTTAACTTCTTTGTTTACTGCATTGGGATTCACATTGGGTTCGGATTCCAAGGAAAAATGCTGTGAGTATTGCCTGGACCTGTCTGAACCATGAAACTAAGTTTATCTCAGATTCGCAGCAAAAATTCCAGCGACTCGTATTTCCGTCCAGAATAGCTTCACGCCAAGATGGCCAAAATGGGTTCCCTCCAGCAACGGTTGGTCACAAGCCTGTAAGGTCGTCAAATACGACGGTACGGTGCGAAATGCAATCGGCGAACTGAATGAACAGCAATCCTCTGAATGACGACAATATTGTGCCAGCTGCGGAGGATTTTTGATTTGTTTCACAAGATTGCAGAACGAACGATAAAAAAAAACACGTCATGGGTGTGGGTGATGGGTTTTGTATTTCGGCCAGGTTTGAATTCCGGTCTTGCCAAGGGTCTTCCGGGATGAAAATTTTATCGGTTTTTTCCAGTCCCAGTACTTATTAGGAGATGTCGATACGTATTAATCCCAACTATTTCATCAGATCTGGACGATTGCCTTAGCGAAACAGTATAGGAATTATAGGAACACATCAATGCAATCAAAAATGCAATTACATTCTATTGCGTGAGTACATCCCATCATCAACGATCCAACATGCACTCCTCTGTTGCACTAGTTCGTCTTAAAAGGATCCCGTGTGATGGGTGGCCTACCAATTAGTCAATTATAAGGCCTTGCTCAATCTCGAAAGTGCATGACGCATCACGACATTAAGTAATTTGCTGTTCGACAAGATCTCATGGGCGTGCAGATGAACAACAACAACCACAGGGTACAGTTAAACTACAGATGCGAAGTTTATCTGGATCGTGCACCATTTCCGAGGAATGACAGATATAAAGTGGGGACATTTGATGGTTTTCACTGGCGGTACATTGGCCATTGGTTTTGATTGGTGGTACCTTGATGAAGGTATCACATCTGCAAAGGATCGTGAACTTGATAGGCTTGAAAGTGTGTAATTGGGTGGTGGTAGGAGACATCATTATCTGCGATACGATAGGCTTAGGTGATGTCTTCGAGGTTGCGTAGCTCTGAGTCGATCAGAACTGTTTCGAGGATGTTGTTTCTAGGGTGGGAGTGAATTTTCGTCCGTTCGAGTTGTGGGTTTGATTTTGTAGGTGAGCATTTTACTGGCAGCTGGTGAAAATTTCGTCAACCGTCCGTTTCTTGTGGACGGGCCGTGTAGGTTGTATTGCTTCCAGTTCCTCGTCCACTGCCCAATCCGCTCTCAATGTAATGAGAATTAAGCTTAATATTTGCCATGAACCATGGTCACGAATTAGAGTAAACACAATCACAAAAAAAATCGGTTCAATCCCTGTAACTCTAGATTTAAGATTAGGATTAAGTATGTATAACGAAAATGATAACTTGGCTCTGTAAAGTTTATTCGATTGAGCCTGTAAAAAAATCAATTCATAAAAAAAAAAACAATCACAAAAGTTTAACATCAGGGTGCCCGAACTCATGGGATATTGACACCTTGATTTATACACTTCGGCCTACTTCGAAATGATCGGCACAATGCTTGGCAAAGCTTTCGGCACTACCAAAACTCTTGGCACAGATTAAGGTGTGCAGAGTTGAAAAGCCCTTGGAAAATAATCATTTTGCATTTGATCCTCAAAGTCATCCCCACCAAGATGAAGACAAACAGCGGCGCCGGTAGTGTAGCGGTAAGCGTGATTACCTCTCACCCCAGGGAAGTCAAGCCGTTGGTCCCCGGTTCATGAGTCGATGAGTCGACTCGGTAGCGTCGGTAGCATTGGTGCTCAGCACGGAAAACAAATCAAGAAAAAAAAGATGAAGACGAATATAAGTATTGACAACAACATAGGCAATAAATAATGAACATCTAGCCACGAATGAAAAAAAACCTAAGAGAAGAGGTGACAATACCGGGGCGAAATTGAACCACTTTTCTGTCAAACGTGAACCAGCTCCTGATTGGCCGATTTCATGTGCGTAAGATAGATATAGAGATAGGTAAAGATAGAGATAGAGATAGAAATAAAAGAGTAAGGAGCCAATTGTCACCTCTTCCTCTTAGAGGAAAACCAATGTTGACTTCGAAACGCAGCGGTTGCCTTGATCAAAATAATATTTGTTACACTGATAGGCAAAATAAAGTGCCCACCTCATGATTTTTGATTTTCTCTCTTTATTTGGTTCAAATTAAGGTAAACACAGTACAGCCTTTTTTAATACCTTATTTTTTATATTATTTTAAAGTTTAGCTTATGCAATACTAAA